GTATGTATGTATGTATGTATATGTATATGTATATGTATATGATGTATATGTATATGTATATATATACACTTTGTCCTTCCTATAAGATTCAACTTTGATAAAGCTTTGCACTAAAAAAAAATGAGCTATGTCCAGACCATTTCTTTACAAGTAAATTATACAGAAATCTGTAGAGACTTACTCGGTTTGTGTACATAAATATGTAACCCCAGTGAACATGTTAGATATTGTCATGCCCCTGTCAGAATCTGATTCTGAGGAGGAGGCCAAGCAGCTGACAGGGAGTGTGAGTGTGGCTCCGTTGGTTGTGGAAGAAACTGGGGAAAGGCAAAGTCTGGCTGGGCAGAGCAGGGGAGAGGTAGAACAAGGCAGAGGAAATTTGGAGGAAGACCCAGGCCCACCCCCTCTTCATCCTAGGGCACGCAGGGAGGAACAGAGAAGGGAGCAACATGAGTTGCGTGGCTTATGGGGGAAGAAAGGGCCCTGATTCCCTCCATTAGCTGCAGCTGGGAACACAGTATTTAAAAAGGGAAAGTGCACACAGCCAACTGTTGAGAGCAAATCATGAATTATCTGGTATTGTCGAGGGTTATCTGGGTTCCTGGCATCTTTCCAACTGTGTGTGTTCTGCTGGCCTTTCGAGCCTGCAATTCCTTCTCCTGCCCTGTCAAGTTAATTACAACAGCGTGGTTTGTGTGGATTTTTATTTACAGTTTGTATGTACTTTGTTTTTGGATTGAATTTCCTCCACTTAAAGACTGTTCTTGGGAGAGTTTTTTTCTCCAGCCAAACGTAACCTGGACATTAGGAGCAAAATTCGAGGTACTAAAGGGACTCTTCTTACTGATGTGACTGTGTTGCCTTTGTGCCATACCCTGGGTCATCACAGATATACTTCTAAATCTGACACCCAATAAATTTAGGCCTGCAAATTATTGCTGATGTTGACTTCTTCTCAATCTTTCTATTCTTTTTTAAATTTTAGTACAAGTACAAAGAAGGTTATCGCAAGCAACTCGGCCATCATATTGGAGCTCGCAGTATAGAAGATGATCCTAAAATGTTGCATTCTATGAATGTGGCCAAGATGCAGAGTGAGAGGGAATACAAGAAAGTTTTTGAGAAGCTGAAGACCAAGTACATCAGTCCTGTGGATATGCTGTCAGTCTTGGGGGCAAAGAATTGCCAGAAGCTGGTCAGCGATATTGATTACCGTAATTATTTGCACCAGTGGACATGCCTCCCAGATCAAAATGATGTCATCCATGCCAGGAAGGCCTATGAACTACAAAGTGATGTAAGCCGCATATTTCGACTACTTCATTTGATAAAACTATACTGACTGTGTAGGCTGGAAGTCTTTCCCTGTCTATTATTTATCCTATTACCAATTAATGACCCTGCTTCTGTCTTCTGCATTCCTTACTGAGATCTGAAAACGCATGTTTTATTTTCTTATTACTCTTCTGCATTCTTTGTGTCCGTAAGTTAGAGTAATTGCAGACTCTGATAGCCAACTTACATTTCCCTGTTCCTCTATTAACTTGGTAAGGTTGTGTTGTTGTTTTTAATTTCCTGAACTTCTCTTTTCCTTGATTAAACTAAAACTTGCAAAGGATTTCTTTTTTAAAGTCCAAGTCTGTCTTTTTCTTCTCAACCATTGCTCTCAGTATCTAAATCTGGAAAAAAATATGAAAGAAAACTATGCAGAGATGGCATTTTGAAGAAAATATATGGCATCCGTTAGTAAAATATGAGCCTAGTACAGGAAAGCAAGAACGTATAAAAACACACACCCCAGGATATACTAAAAAGTTGGACTAAGAGGAAGGGAAGAGGAAACAGTGTCTGGTTTTCAATATTCTGTTGTTATACTCTTTATATTATAAAGGAGTGTTCTTGTATCTCTTGTGGTCTGACATAAAAATACGTTTCTAACCTTAAATCCTACTTTGCACTTGTATTCATAATCCACCAAGATATATTACAGAGTCCTAAATCAAAGAGGCATCATTGGATAAGACAAAAATATGTACAAAATTCTAGGTCAGTAAGTAAGGAACAAAACACCTTCAGAGATTTTGTAACATAGAATGGTGGCTTCTTTTTTCCCCTGCCAGCTTGCATATAAATCTGATCTCGAATGGCTTAAAGGCATTGGATGGAATACGTTGGGATCTCTCGAGTCGGAAAAGAACAAGAAAGCTTCTGAGATTCTGAATGAAAGAACTTATCGTCAACATCCAGACACAATTAAATTCACAAGCATTCCTGATTCAATGGAAATTGTTCTGGCAAAAGAAAACTCAAAGCATAGAAGTGATGTGAGTGCTTCTCAATTTGAGGGTTTTTGCCGCGTGGGGAGACAGTCAATCACATAAAAACAGCTTGAAAGTGGGAGAGTAGATTCCGCAATATAACATAATTGTTTGATTCCATCCTTGAACCTATATTTCTTCAAAAGTAAGTTGAAGATAGTTTAGAAATTTGTTTTTAGAACTGTAGCTCTCTTTAATAAATTGCAGTTAAGATCCCATGATCAACAGAATTTGCTTCCAAGTAAATAAGAATAAAATTTTATGATGGTAAATATATTTAAAAAATAAAACTTAGTGTAGGAAGAATGAAGTTGCTCATTGGATTTATTCAGAAAAATGATATTTTTTGGTAAGTTTGATTTCAGTTTTCTTCTTAAAAATAATATAAATGAGCATCTTTGAGGATATAATGAACTTTACTTAATTTAAAGATGAAACAAAAGAATCTCTTTTGGCTAACCATTCCACTTTGTAGATAGGTTATGAAGAAGGAACCTTCTAGCACCATTTTCATAACTGTTTCTTCTGCATGCTCAGAAAAAACTCATCTGAGTACATATTTTACTGTGCTGGGAAAGGTCATATTGTATATAATTATTGAAACACTGAAACATATTGATTACTGAAATCACTGAAACATATTGATTCAGTCTTTGTTTTTGCTTTGTAGAGACTTTACCGAGAAGCTTGGGACAAAGATAAGACTCAGATTCATATCATGCCTGACACTCCTGAGATTGTGTTGTCCAGAATTAACTTAGTTAACTTGAGTGATGTAAGTTTGATACTGGTTTGATTACAGAAGCAAAAGCAAACATTTAGTGTTGCACCGAGTGTTGAACTCCTAACTTTCATTGGTTCTCTTCTTAGAAACTCTACAAATTAGGATTGGAAGAATTGAAAAGGAAAGGCTATGATCTTCCACCTGATGCCATACCGATCAAGGCAGCAAAAGCATCTAGAGAAATAGCCAGTGAAGTAAGGAATTCTGTTATGTGTTTTAAGGAAAAATGGCATGCGGTCTTTTGTTAAATCTTTCTCTTATTTGGTATCTGAGGAAGGGTAAACTGAGGCCCTAGCATACTTTCTAAAGGCCTCTGAAAGCAATCCATTCACTCCTAAGGACTCAGAGTCTGATTCTTGATGGAGAAGTAAATGAATATCTTGCATATCATAACTGGTCTTTGATTTCCACAGGGGCTTTGTTTCAGTTTTGTCTCCCATCGGCATGATGGCGTCAATCCTTGGTTTATATGTATGACCACCACATACCCCGCTTTTTAATATAGTCTCATTTATCAATTAAGCTGCTAATTAGTCCTTGTGAGATTTTTCAATAGAGAGTGATATATGCTATAATCATTATCTGCTATTTACATAAAATAATTTAAGGTAGCATTTTAATTAAAGGTATTAAATTTAAAGGTATTAAATTTCCTGCTGAACTAACCATTTTCAATTTTGAATGCTCATCTGATTAATGAAAATGAATTGGTGATTTTTAACCCTTTTTGAAAATCATAAGCAGGGAATTCTAAATCCCTTTCTTATAACTTAATACTGTTTCAAATCATTCTTCACTTAGAAGGCGTGTATTTGAGATAGGCAACTGTATCAACTGAATAATGAAAACAAATGAATATTAACCTCACATATCTTTTATTGCTAAGAAAAAATATTAACCTGTTTTACTATTTAGATTAATAATTTCATCATTAAAATAAATAATATGAAGTCCGCTTTAGTTTTCATTTTTGAGAACTAATAGGCAATTAAGGAATATGAAATGTAAATAAAAATTTACTATGGACTAAAAGGAAATCCTATTTTGATAAATATATAAAAGTAGAATTTTTCATATAAACAAACCAAATTTCCCCCCATAACTCTTTAATATGTTAGCAATGTTACTGGAATTCAAAGAAACACCCTAAATTTGAGATCTCCCCTCAAGGATGATTAAACACACTCCATACATATACTCCTTTAGGTACAGAAACCATCTGGGTGATTTTGGGCCAGTTCCACTCTTTCATCCCTAGACTGGAAAGTTCAAAAGCATCTACTTATTAACCTGCACTGGGTTAGCATAGTGATACTCTATGATGTACTCATTAAATAAGACCTTTAAGAAGAAGTCAAGTCTCAGAGTTGTGAGACTTGGTTGGGTTCATTAGTTGGAGCCTTGACATACAGATCTTTCAGCTGAGAGACACCTCTGGATGTTACCCAGTCATGTTGGAACTCAGCACGTGATCAAATTGACTGAAAAAAGATTTCAGTTTAGCACATTTAGTTATATGAGGAACTAGATAAAAGGTTTTTTTTTTGCTCTCTCTCTTTCTCTCCTGTACAGTATAAATACAAAGAGGCATACCGTAAACAGCTCGGTCACCACATTGGAGCTCGCAGTATAGAAGATGATCCTAAAATGTTGCATTCTATGAATGTGGCCAAGATGCAGAGTGAGAGGGAATACAAGAAAGTTTTTGAGAAGCTGAAGACCAAGTACATCAGTCCTGTGGATATGCTGTCAGTCTTGGGGGCAAAGAATTGCCAGAAGCTGGTCAGCGATATCGATTACCGTAATTATTTGCACCAGTGGACATGCCTCCCAGATCAAAATGACGTCATCCATGCCAGGAAAACGTATGACCTTCAAAGTGATGTACGTGGCATTTTAACAACTTTGTAAATGTAAAGCCATGCTTAATAGAAGCTAACCACCTTCTTCAGCTCAGCGTTAGCTGTGTTCTAAGAACAACCATTATGGATCGGCTCGGTTTGTTTGAATGAATTTCACTGTTACATTGTTTCTCAAAGTTTAGAGATGTTTTAAGAAGCAGTAGCATTAATAAAATGTTGAATAATAAAATGGAAAAATCAATAAGGTTTCCTTCCTACAGATTAATTATAAATCAGACCTTGAGTGGCTCAGGGGTATTGGCTGGTGTCCTAGTGGTTCTTTGGAAGCAGAGAAGAATAAGAGAGCTTCTGAGATCTTGACTGACCATGGATATAGGCAGCACCCTTCTACCTTCGCTTTTACCAGCCCTATTGATTCCTTACCTTTGGCTTTGGCAAAACATAACTCAGAAATTATGAATCAGGTAAGTTTTATCTATGATCCTTTCTTGAAATACACACACACACACACACACACACACACACACACACCCTATACTTTGATGGAATAATATTGTTTTCTGTAATAAGACTTCAAAGTAGGTTATATAGTTGCTCTACTAAAGTTTTAAAGATGCATATCAGTATATAAATGTACCTTAAAGATGCACTGACTTTAGTTGGCTTTTTAGAGTTGAGGGGAAAGTTTAGAAGACACAACAAAGCATTTCTTAGCCTTAGGTCAAAATATGTTCTTTAGAACAGTATGAGAGCTTAACAGAACTCATCAGAAATGGCCTTGGAAACTATTAAATACCTCATTATTGATTAATTCCTGATGAAGAAATTCCTTGATAAAGAGGTTAGGATTTTATTTGCGCAACAAGATTGTCACAAATATGGAATCTATTTATATTAATCTTATTTACAACCCTGGCTTTAAAAATAAACAAATTAAAAATTAAGTAATTCTTTCTCATCTATTTTTGGATCTAGCCCAATCTTAGACACTTGACTGCTTTCTGTATCCCGTAATTATAATGATCGTAATTAACAATATAAAATGGGTTTCATAATATCCATCCACAACACATAATTAGAACTGATCCTATATTTCAGTTTTAATAAACCACTGATTATTTTATTGTGCTTTTTTTTTAGCGTATGTATGTTGATGCTTGGAATAAAGATAAAACCACTATCCATATTATGCCTGATACTCCTGAAATTCTACTGTCGCAACAGAACAAAATCAACTTCAGTGATGTAAGTGGATTTCTATTTGTCAAACCTATGAGAAGGGATGGGGGAAAAATGCCCTCAGAAACACTAAAGCGATATTTGCCCTCCGTTTAGAAACTGTACAAACTGTCATTGGAAGAGGCCAAGAAGAAGGGGTATGATCTTCGGATAGATGCAATTCCTATCAAGGCTGCTAAAGCATCCAGAGATATTGCAAGTGAGGTATGTAGTTACATGATATCATACAAACCACAATTTTTTTATTTGATTGCAATGTTACCTATAATTTTAGACTTTCCCTTTGCATTGGATTTTTTGAGGCTTGGTTGATTATGCAAATTATTTTGCAAGTGCTACAATTGTTCAGGATATATTTAAATGGACTAAATAGTTTTCCTTGGAAGTATTGATAGTATGGGCATTTAATTTTTCAGCCAAAATAACTACAAAGATAAATGGAGCATATCTTCACTGGCCTGATTCAATTACTCCATGTTTTTTTTTAATGTAAATTATATTTGGTTTTCACAAAAAACATAATATAAATAAAATATCTTTTTTTGAGAATAGCAAGATTCTGGGTTATCACTTCTTCATACAGACACAAACTCAATTTCATGTTCATCGTTGTGTTCTATTCCATGTCTTATTACTGTTTAACTTTTTCTACATAGTTTTTCCCCTCCTTTTATTTTCTCAACTTTATTTTTAATTATCTCATTTCTCAATTCAAATAATTATATTTGTACTTTTGTCTGTCCTGTTCCAATTTCATATTATCTTTTCTCCTTAAATGAATTTTCCCCTGTAGTTACTAATTGGACTATGACACCTTTATATCTTTTAATTTTGTCCACTCAACTCTTATTTAAACTTTAATTTATACCTTTAAGGTTATAACATTCAATATAATACATAACTTCCAATCGTATTCTGCTTGGCACATTCTTAAAATACACACTATATTCTTAAAAAATTATATATATATGTAAATAAAACACTCATTCCATTCCAATTCAATTCTATCGTTAATATTAATTAAAATCTTAACATCTTTAACATTTCTTTTCAATTGAATATCATACTTCCTTGTGAACACTTATAAACTTTCCATAATTAATTCTTTTTTCCCCATATTTCTCTTCACTTATATTTTTATAAATCATTAATAATAATTAAAAAGTTCCCATCTTTTCCTAATTTCATTCTCTCATTCACTTTATTTCATTTATTAATTAACAAACATTCCATTGCATTACAATAAATATTTTATCCATCATTTTAGTCATCATATTTTCTGAAATTATTTTTATTTCTAATATAACAATACTATCTTATGTACCTTTGCATAATCCCTTTTTCAATTAAATTTTCACCCATTATCTCTAAACAGGCTTATACTTTCTTTTTTTTTTATAAATTTTATTGAATTTACAATTAAAAAATAACATAACAACATTACATATGCAACAGAGAGAAAAAAAGAAGAAAGAAAGAAGAGAAAGAGAGAGGAAAAGAAAAAGAAAAAACGCTCGGTCTTGCAACCGAGAAAAGAGAAAAAGAAGTATAAAAGAGAAAAAAAACAAAGAGACGGAAGAAAAAAGAAAATACGTTAAAACCAAACAGATATTCTTTTTGACAGTCTGCAAGATCCAATTCTCCTACCTTACTTTAAATATACACATCTTATTACTATTTATGCTTAAATTACCCATTATTCCTTGAACAGTTTATCTCTGATATAACCAATTATACCACGCATTCCAATTATTATCAAATGCTGAAGACTCTTTATTTTTAAGAGCTATGGTTAAATTGTCCATTTCTGCGCAGTCACATATTTTCTGAATGACCAATTGATCTGTAGGTAAACAGGATGATTTCCAGCACTGGGCAAATGCTAATCTGGCCGCAGTTAGAATATGAATTATTATATATTTCGTCTTTTTAGGAAAATGTTTATCAGAGATCCCTAGTAGGAAGAACTCTGGTTTGTATTCGATTTGTTCTTTGGTTATCTCCTCCAGCCATTTTCTAATTTTTTGCCAGTATTTCTGGGCTTCTTTACAGGTCCACCACATATGAAAGTAGGTTCCCTCTATGTTTTTACATTTCCAACATTTTGGACTAGAGTTTGGGTTCATTTTCGCTAACCTCAAAGGGGATAAGTGCCATCTATATAACATTTTATACATATTTTCTTTGTACGCCGCAGATTTCGTAATCTTAATGATTCTATTCCAGATCTTTTCCCATTCTGTTAATGTAATGCTTCTTCCAATATTCCTACTCCACATTATCATGTTCCCTTTCACTATCTCTTGCTCTAATTCTACCTCCAATAAATATTTATAAAATTTAGAGATATTCTTTTTATTTGATCCTAATAAGATTTTATCTAAGTGTTGTAATTTGCTATAGATTCCAAACTCTTTGATATCTTGTTTGTATCTACTATGGATTTATATATATAACCACTGATCAATTTTAAATCCCTGTTCCTGTAAGTCCTGTCGAGTTCTTAATTTCCCTAAAGGGTCTAATAAATCTTTATATTTAGTCGTTTTTGTTATATCCAAATTGTTGGGATGAACCATTGCCTCCATTGTTGAAAGCCAAATCGGAATTTTTAAATAATGTTTTTTACATATTTTTTTCCAATTAGTTAATAGTGAATCTCTAATAAGATGTCTATGAAAGTACGCCTGTTTAGTTTTCCCCACATCCCATAGAAATGCGTGCCATCCTCTCTGAAGGTCGTGCCCTTCCAAGACTAGAGTTCTTTTGTTCCGTAAATTGACCCAGTCTTTTAACCATAATAAGTTGGCTGAACAGGCTTATACTTTCAATCTTATACCTTTTCCCTGTTTCTCTATATCTTGTTTCTGTCTTTTATAACTTCTTTTCCTTTCCTTCTTCCCCCTCTTCTTCTCCCTCCCCTTTTTACCCCCTTGTCTCTCTACTTCTACTTCTCTCTTCTGTAATCCCCTCTTCTGTTGCTTTCTAGTATTGTAATTATATTTAAACTATTCTTTTTTTGTTGTTTTTTAAATCTTGAACTTTTCACTCTCTTTCCCCCCTTTCTTCCCCCCCCCACATAAAATCACTTGATCATTAAAGATGGCTTCTTCTTTGTCCCAATTTTCTTGTTCTACAAGCGTTTCTTGTGGTTTCTCATCGTTCCAGATCTCATTTCTAAGAATTGAAATATGAAGCCAAAAGAAACTCTTCTTTCTTGTGCATCTTCTTTCTGTTTTTTAAGTTCCATTTTCAGTTCTTCTAAAAGTTATGCCATTTTATACACTTTTAAACAACCACCCTATTGATTTTAGTCATTTAAATGCAATAGCCAAAAATCCAAAAATCACCAAGTAATCCAAATAATCCAAAGCTGTTTCTTCTTGCTTCTTTCTTCCACTTTCTCTTCCTGGGGTTCTATTATTTTGTTACAAAGTTTCAGTTAGAATGTATCTTTTAGAATCTTGTTAAGGTTTCACTGTAAATTCCTTTTAGTTCCAGGCAGTCTCCTCCATTTTTCCAGATCCTGCCCTTTTACTCTTTCCTTTTCTCTCCTTTCCTGCTTTTAAAATTTTTTAAGTATCCAAAAATCTTTGTTATCCCTTGCGACGTTTTATTTTCAGCTTAAATGCCTATTAATGTCAAAGTGGATTTTTGTCAATTTCTTACTTAAATCTCTTAGCTGTCAGTATAAGGAAGGGAAGAAAAAAAAGCCAAATCCTTTCCCTTCCCTCTCTCCTTCACTGCTTCCAAGTCTTCTTTGGGAACAATGTTATTTTTTATAGTTTAAATTCCAGGGTACCTTACATTGTTGCCTTTTCAGTTTAACCCGGTCAACCAAAACTTTCTCTTCTTATCTTCCTCCTGCATATTCTTTTTTGGCCAAGTTCTTCTTTGAGGTGGCCATTTCTGATCACCGCTGCAACCGCCTTTGGGAAAGGGAGTAATGGCCAGCTGGGGAGGAGAGATGCTGCTGGCAGTCTCCCCCCTCTTCACCACCTCTACGGGGTGGCTTAGCCCCAAAACCAGCCGGCTTGGGGCGCTCTGACGGCAAGCACGGATCAAAGCCGCGCACAATTGCAGATTTCAGTCTGTCTCTGAAGGAGCTCAAACCAGAAGTCCAATTACTCTCTGTGGATATATATTAGAAACTAGTAGTAGCAACCTAGATAATGAAATGAAGGTATGAAACATTGGAATTAATTATATTTTCTCCTTGTAAATTTGCCAAAGATTGAAAAAGTGAACATGAACCCAAACCCACATATAAAAATTAAAGTAGTTTGGTACAAACAATCTGGAAAAAGTTGCAAATATGTACAATACTTGATTTAAACTCTTCTAGGTCTTAGGAAATCCAGGATAA